TTTATACTTTAACACTCCCCCTCACGTGTGGGCTGAACAATGGGCAATCGTGTGGGTAAATTAATTAGAAAGCCCAACACGTGAATATTTAAGCCCGAGATATATTAAAGACCCAACACATGACAATTTTTAAATGTGGATAAAGAGTGCAATTACGGGGGTTTGAACTCAGGACCTCCCGCTCTGATACCATGTTAGTTTACCAATCCATCCTAAAAACTTAAACTGTTAGGAAGTGGGCCAATAATAATTTTATACTTTAATAGATACGTGACCAAAAAGTGTTGCAACTCCAGATCCTCATTGCTGCATCACACGAAATCCTGACCAAGAATCTGCATAGGTTGCATAATTTTATTCTCACGAGTATAAGCATCCTTGTCTTTCCAAATGAACCAGAGCACCATAACAAATAGCTCAAACTCATCTCGTTACATAACTCGAGACCTAATCAGTAAGAGATACTCTATATTGTCACCTGGAAAGGCTAGGATACTTGACCAAAAAGTGCTGCTACTCCAGATCCTCATTGTTGCATCACACCAAATCAGTGCATGGAAAACCGTCTCCTTACCGCCAAAGCACCAACGACAACCTTCAGTATATGCCACACCTCATTTAGCTAGCCTTGACCAAGAGGGTAAAATATCATGAAAAGCCCTCCAAACAAAAAGCTTCACCTTGTGGGGAATGTTTAAGGGCATGTTCTTTTGTCTAAAAAATTCAAAAAAAGACAACTTAAGTTTCAACTTTATTCAAGTTCACAGTTCTTTTAAGTTTCAATTTTATTCAATTTTACTCAACTTTATTCAAGTTCTAACTTCAACTCAAGTTATAACTCAAATTCAACTCAAAAACTACACTCAAATTATACTCTAAAAGAATAACCTTTAAGTGTCATAAAAGAATCCACCATCAACGATCTACACTCCCCATAAACGAGGACACTGAATTGCGCACTGTCATTTCTTGAAAGTATTCTGATTTGACAGTGTAATAGCTTTTTACTGTCAAAATGCCAGATTAGAGAATCCATAGGTCTTTAAAGACCAATTGGAATGCTTTGTATAAGCTCAATATCAACAGGCAAATAATTACTTCCCAACAGCTCCATATTCCAACCTCCAGAATTCTCACCAGCCTCAGTTAGCAAATTAGACACCATCCAATTACGATTTCCTTCTATAGCTTTAGTTATAGGCTGAAACGAAACAGGACGTGGCAGCCAAGGGTCGTCGAAGACAAATTGAAAGGCCATCACTTGCCCGCCACTGAAGTCCCAAAGCACGCCAAATTTAGGATGGGTTCTTCCCCATCGAAGCCTGCAAAAAAGAACTCGGAAAATACGTAGCTTTTAGGATATCATTTGGAAGTTGAACCTCCATGCTATTAACTTTGGTATATAACATGTCATGATACGTAAGATAGTATGGCATCATACTAAAATGTGAAAATTACAGATTCTACTTGATTTATTAAAAAAACTCATTTTAAAAAACTTTATCCCTTAACTAGTTCTAGTTTAAAAAGTAAAAATATATAAGTTAATGTTAAGGGATAGAAATAAAAGAAAACTCTATGTTCCTCCTTGATAGGGTGTTCAGCAAGGTGTTCTGCTATCGCTCTTCCCTTAATTTATTTTTTGGTTACATACGTGATGTCAAATTCAGACAGAAGCAGTAACCATCTTGCGGTCCTTCCCCGCCCCTGTAGTCGTAGTACTCGGCTCGTCGCTACTTTGATTCAAAAGGTAACCGACGGTTCCCGACTTTAAGGAGTATTTTTAAAAATTACCCTACTAAAATATATATTCCACTATTATGTTGCCATCTTAAGTATCATGACATGTTACCAGTGGTAGTACAGTATACCACTGGTATGGAAGTCACCAATGGGCTACTATTGGTAGCGTAGGATGCTGTCAAAGGTTTTAGTGTAACGTTTTTTGAAGATTTTTTTTGTCAAAAAAAATCAAGGTATAGATTCTATTTGTAGCACTTATGTAAAACTCCCAAAATAAATGTTTGTTTCATGTTTTTTTTTTATTTTTTTGTTTTCTGCCTTTTCTTTTTTTAAGATGGATTAGTTGCATAGTAGATTAGGTGACGTTTGGTTCATGGTTCAAAATCATGATTCATGATTCTGAGTTTTAAGATTTAAATTTTTTGTGTAAAAAAAATACAGTAGCAGAACTAAGAACCAAAAATCATGATCATAAACCACACAAAACCCTTAAAACAAACGTTATCTTAATTCGTGTGAACTTAATAACTGTGTTTGGCAATTTGAATTTTAAATTTTGGACTTTAGTAAATAAGACTAAATTTAAAAATTTACTGCAATTGTTGATCCAATTACTAACAAATAAATCCCCCCGATGAGTATTTTCTCTAACTTTCTCAATTTATGAATAAGTCCAATTTTGGATATTAATTTAAGATAACTAGATAAGACAAAAATTTTATAATTGCAAAAATGATTGGTTGAAGAAAAATAATTATTATAAAGTAAATAATTGATTTACTTAGCGTAAAATTTTTGTTTATTGAGTAAACTTGTATTTGTGGGTTTAACTGGGGTTTAAACCGCTTTTACCTTTTACAAATAAACATTAGTTTGGGGTCAAACCTCTTGAACTTGAACTTGAGTTCAAACCTCTTGAACCATCTGTTAGGAACCTGATAGTTAGCAGTTATTTTTTAGTAGTCTTTTAGTAGTATAAATAAGGGTCTAGTGGCTAATGAGGGAGGATGATTAGATTTGTAGAGAGTGTCTAATGTTGTGCACTATTTTGGAGGTTGGGGGTCCTCGAAACCGCCTATTTATCCTGTAATTTTCCATTTTTAGTATTGTTAATTAGGCATAGATTTTCGGGTTCCTAACAATGATATCATAGCATCTACGATCCATGGAGCTCTCAGAGTTGAGAGAGAAACTTAGGGCTACTCTAAGAGCTAATCTCAAGGTTTCTAGAGGGAGTATAGGGGAACTCCGGGACCTTGTGGGGAAGGTTCGGACCCAGATGGGTGACTTGCAGGCGGCGCTGCGGAGGATGGAGGCACTGCTGGCGGCACGGCCGATGGCCGGGTAGGCCGAGTTAGGTCGCGACGGCAAACAACGGGGTGGGGAGAGGCGAGATCTCGCACCACGGGATGAGGAGAGCCCAGATCGCGTCGACCCAGGCGGAGTGGAGGTGCCAAATCGGGTGGATCTTCACCGGGAAGCACCGATTCGCGAAGATCGAGGCCGTGAGAGGGAGTTCCGACGCCGGAGAGACGTGGGTCTCATGGAGGAGCGCGAGATCCGTCGTGATCTAGGGCTGGGTGGTCTGGATCTGCAGCGCGAGGGTTTGTTCAACGGCGGGAGGAGGGCAAAAGGAGGTCATGATCGTCGGGAGAGGGCGGTGGAGCTTGGTCGGCGACGGGAAGTGGAGTAGGAGCCAGAGTTAGAGGAGGAGAGGCTTGCTCCAAGGCTGGGACGGCGGGTACCCTTGGAATAAGGAACCCAGCCCTGATTCGGTCGCGGTTGGGGCTGATTTCAGACCGGTTTGGACCGGGCCTCGTGATTCCGGCGTGAAAGCGGTTGATTCCGGTGCTACGGAGGTAGATTCCGGCGCGGCAGAGGCTGGGCTCGACGATTTGGCTACGGTTTGGACAGGGCCTCACGATTCCAGCGTAAAAGAGCTTGATTCCGGTGCTACAGAGGCATATTCCGGTGGGATTGTAGTGGAGTCCCGCAATTCTGACTCCATTAAGGCTGATCCCGGTGAGATTGGTGTTGTTTTCAAAAATTCCGGCCAAATTTGGAGCGGGTCTCATGATTCTGACGCTGTTGAGGTTGTTTCCGGCAAGGTTGGGGCTGATTCCAGCCCGATTTGGACCGGGCCTCACAATTCCGGCATGAAAGGGGCTGGTTTCGGTGCTACGGAGGCAGATTCTAGCGGAATTGGAGTAAGACCCATGAATTCTGATGCCCTTAAGGCTGGGTTTTGTGATTTTGACGCCATTGGGGCATGCTTCGGCGAGATGATGGCCAGGACGTGGAATTCCGACGCGAAATTCGGCGATTTTGGTGCTGAATCCCAAAATTATGTTTGGAAGTGGGCTCGGTCTAGTGTTTTCGGTATGGGCAGATCTAATTTTAGGGTTGGGCCTCGTAACTACAGCGTTAATTGGCCTAATTCTGGTGCATTGGTGGTTGGATATCAGAATTCTAACACATTTAGGATTGGGTATAGTAAATCTGTGGCTAAGTATGAAGAAATTGGTGACAGAGAGGCTAAAAGGATGAAGACTTGGTTAGCTGAGAAAGAAACTTATTTGTTAATGACGGATTTGTCAAAAGCTTTTATGGTCATTGATGATCATGGGGCTCTAACTGAATTGATGGACTTTGTGGTTGCTTTCCAAGATACAAAGAAGATGGAGAAGAAAGTAATTGATTGGCTCCAATTTAAAGACGTGACTTACAAGGACAACATCAATTTGGGAACTCAAATCAAGGAACTAACAAAGCCTTCTGTTCTTAATCATTTAGATGTTATTTTTCAATTTTATTTGTTCTTAATCATTTAGATGTTGTTTTTCAATTTTATTTCTTGATTTTTACCTTCAAGACAAGGTGATTCTTTAGAGCGAGAGTAATGTTAAAAACCTGATAGTTAGCAATTGTTTTTTAATAGTCTTTTAGTAGTATAAATAAGGGTCTAGTGGCTAATGAGGAAGGATGATCAGATTTGTAGAAAGTGTCTAGTGTTGTGTATTATTTTAGAGGTCAGGGGTCCTCGAAACCACCCATTTATCTTGTAATTTTCCATTTTTAGTATTGTTAATGAAGTATAGATTTTCGGTTCCTAACACCCTCCAACCAAACCCATTGTTCCTTCTGTATATTTGCTCATTTCTCCATGAAAAATTAGATTGGTCCAAGTGAAACTAACAAGAATAATTGTAACTATAATAAATGTAAAGAGATGAAATTGTAGAGAGAGATATGGTCAAATGGGGTGGTGACCAAAGCCGACCATCAACCTAATTGTTCCTTCTGTATAATTATACGCTCATTTCTCCATGAAAAATTAGATTGGTCGAAGAGAAACTAACAAGAATAATTGTCACTATAATAAATGTAAAGATGAAATTGTACGGCTGAAAGCAAAGACAACTTAAAAGGAAAAAAATATCAACTTTGTTACAAACACAATCTCGATTGAGCAAGAGCAGTCACAGATCCAAGCAAACCTCCTATATATTAACAAGAAAACACAATATTAGGTCAGTCCATGCATAAGGCTTGTATTGAACACAAAGCTTTAGCAAGTCACCCACTATAGCATCTGTAAATTCATTAGCTCTATCTACACGTTCTGGAATCTTTTGATATTTTCTACCAATTTATGTTTTAAATTTTTTTCATCTTTCCCCCTACCAAGGTATATTTTTCCTTTTTGATATCTCAGAAATTCCTACAACCCGCTTACTTAGGATATTTTATGCTGCAGTGTTCACAATATTAATCCAACGTCAAGTTACAAAGATTGAAAATATGCGCCATGCCAATCCTTACAATCGTTGGAAACATGAAACTCGCGGATACTCACTAGGTAAGTGACCACTATGAAATTGGGATCGTGTGCGAATTGTAGTAAAACATAAGTCTAACCTCACAATCGCCCTCTCAGGGTTGACTACTATTTCATACCACAACTCACACACTTCTTGCAGCAGCCCAACCTTGCTGCTACAATGTTCACTAATGAAAACCTAGCTGCTAGTTATTATGATCTTGTTAAAGCTGCCCCTTGTATCTCTCATCACGTTCAATTGTAGTCTTAGACTCTGTTCACTTTGGAAAGAGACCTCAATTTATTTTACTATAATTATGCAATATAAGCATGATTCTGCTATAGTTACTGACACAATGCCTCAAAATTAGAAGTTTGAAGTAGGAACACAAGTACAAATATAATCATAATGCCAAATATAAGCATGATTCTGCTATAGTTACTGACAATGTCTCAAAAATTGGAAGTTGGAACACAACAAGTAAAAGTATAATCATAATGCCAAACTTTCCTTTTCCCAAAGTTTTATACAAAAGCAAGATACTGAATTTCTGTGCTAAAAAAGGTCCAACAAAACATAATACATTTCTCTGAGTAAAAAAAGGTACCGGCAAGCATGAAAACTCTTTATCATCATCATGAGAGATTAAGCAATTTATGAGAGCATTTTTATCAATCAAATTAATCGTACAACGCATTAAAATTTGACACATTCTATTTCTCAAATAGTTGAGTTAACCCTAATAATGTTTGTTAAGCATCAAAACAAGAAAAAATAGAGTCGATAATGTCCCCTCAAAATAAATGAAGCAGTATGCATATTTTTGTCACTCAAAAACAATCGCAAGAAAGTTTCAATTGACACAACAAAATTTTCTCTATTATCAGAACCATACATGCCTTGTAATATTAAAAAAGGAAGATGGGGAACGCATGCTCATTTTAATATACTACCTTAGGATCAGCATTTATTACAAGAATTTGAAAGAAAGGTACTTCAATAATTTCACACTCATAGAGGAAAATGCTAGCAGATGAATATGAGAAGTAGCAATGTGCCAATATCACCCAATTTGTCGCAATGCTAAGAGTATAAGACCACATAAACAACCAAAGAGAAAAGGGTCAAACTACTATCAAATTTAAGTGCTGGTAACAGACTTAGTTTCACCATAACTGCATAAGGAAAGGAGAACCATAGTCGTTCGTTAGGCTTTCATCCTTTTGCCTATAGGCAATGCTTGGTTTCATTATAGCTCATGACTTGGAATAGAATCTACGTAAGTCGGACTTTCCACCAGAAGGCCTACGATATAGTAGGAAAGAAAGAGCGAAAAAAAAGTATGTTTACGGTTATGAAGTAACTTAGCCATCTACAAAGGGAAGGCATTCGTACAGAATCATGTCAGCTGTAGATATAGATTAGAACAGATCTTAAACTATGGACTGAGACTACACTAAGGAACAAGGAAGCTTGACTAAGCATAAGAAGTCAAGGACCGAAGCTGCTTCTCTAATAGCTTTGTTGAATAGAACGCGGAGGCTTTTTGAAGCCTTTTTTTCTTGCACATGCCTAGGGATCAAACTACTATTAAATCTATGTGTTGGTAACTTAATATCACCTTAACCGAATAAGAAAAGAACAAGCACAGAAATCTAGAAAGTTAAGATCTTCAAAAGCTGAGATCAGCCTCAGAAGAAGCATATTAACACAAATGTCAAAGGAATATACAGCCCAAGATCTCCATAAGCTTTCAAAACACACCAAATAAAATATAAATTTCTTTCAGAAATGCTATTGTAGTATACAACAGTAAAAGACCAAAAACGAATTGCAAATGACCAAGAACCATAGAGATTCATCTTACCCTATTCAAAGGACATGAAGCTAATATGATATAATCTATCTAGGAGTCACCCTTCGGTTCATCTGAATCTGAATCACTTGCATTATAACCTATGAACCAACATAAAAAAGGAACATTTAATGATAATGAAGAATAAAATAAAGACCATGATAATGATAATGATGTCCTTGAAGTGATGATGATGATAGCAAAAGGATAGAGAGAAGACAACCTGGATGCTTATCACTAACTTTCCAAACTGAAGACCTTGTCCTAGATGCTCTTGTGATCCATATTCTTCCCTAAATTCCAAAAGGAGGTAACATTGGTTATAATAAAACAGGAGAGAGAGAGAGAGAGAGAGAGAGAACTAAAAAACTAAATATATATATATATATATATAAACCATAAACCATAAACCAAAACCCCAATTGTCCGATTGCCAATTCTCTTCCATTAATTTCCCAACTAGTAAATTTAGAATTCCAATTCCATTCTCGTCCATTAAGTTTCTAATTAGTATATCCAGCAGTGCAAACTCGTGATTCTAGAAATGTCTAAATTCTTTTATATATATATATATATATATATTCTTGTACTTGAAAAAAAAAAAGAACTACATAGAAAAGGAATAAGGATCCATATTTGAACAGTTAGAATTTAGAACTTTCAATTGTCAAAATTTGGTGCCTTATTTTCCATCTAACCAATGTACACATTCTATGTCTCAGTCTAAAATCCAAAACAACTTTATATCAAAATTCATATATAAAAGCTTATAGAGGAAAACATAATGTAAGAAGAAACACCATCAAAACCCTAAAACCCAAAAGAAACACATATAATCCAACCAAAGCATCAATATAACAATAAATAAATAAATATTAAATAAAAGCCAAGAAAAAAACCTTCTGGGCATCTCTTGGAACGCCATAACCGCTATAATACATCTGACCTACCAAGACCTGCATATTGATATCCCCAGATTTGGCCTCTTTAAGCGTGTCCTTGAACCACCTTTTCACGCAATCCGTCACCACCTCCGAAAGCGGCAACCTATTGTTGTCGTTTTTGTTCTCCGAACTGCCTTCTCTCTCCATAATATTCTTCTTCTTCTTCTTCTCCGATATGGGTTTTGCTTGCTTCGGAGTTCTGACACACTGCGACGTCGTTTTGGCCAACTGGATTAACCTGCGATTTTCCCATACAAAAACCAAGTCAAATACTCAATAATAACGATGCGGGTAAAGAGAGACACAAAAGAATTCTTTTTTTTGTTGTTGTTATTTTTCTTCTTTTTCACGGATTTTGTTTTACTCTGGGATTGATTCTGATTGGGCTTACTTTTTTTATAAAAAAAATCTTCAAAGTGAAGTGTTAGCTCATGGCTTTTTGTTTGGTTACTGGGAAAAAGAAGAAAGAAAAAATCTGTATTTTTGGATTTGAAAAATGGGACAAAAGAAGAGAGCTTTTGGGTTAAAGGAGTTTGGAGGGGTTTATAGCGGAAGTTGCGAAGAAGGAGCTTTCGGTGGACAAAAGTAAGCGTATATTATGGGTCAAAATAGAAGGCATCAAAACGACGTCGGATGATAAAGACATATATAGTCGTACACAATGAATAAAATTTGTCGCGTTTATGTTGAAGTCGCTTGGAGACGTGACTTCTTGAACGGGCTCCAGATCACCACCCCTTGTGCCGTGTCCACTATTTCGAGTGAAGTCCACTAAATTTGTGTTTGAAAATAAAAGCCTTTTACGATTTAAATCACAATTTAAATTTTATTATTATAATATTTTTTTAATAAAAATTTAAATTTTTTTTATTATAATATTTTTCTCTTACAAATATAATTTAAAATCTTAACTTAAATTGTGACACAAACACCTTTCATTTGTTTGTTTCCAAAACTAATTGCGCAAAAAATTTGCAGAAGTACTGTGTACGATTGAATCATAGATTTCAAAATATTGTTTTCTTAAAAATTAGTCACTATACATATATTAATTTAATACATATATGTAAAAGCATTAGAAGATTTTTACTGTCGATAACTTATGGTTTGAGTTGGGACTCTAATTTGAGTTTTTGTTTAGATATGCACATTTTGAGTTATAGTTTGAATTGAAAATTTATTTGAGTTTGTGTTTAGGTGGGTCAAAATTTGAATTTGTATTTGGATAGTATTTTAATAAAAACTCAATGGTGATAAAAAATTTTAATATAGTATATGTGTGAGGTTTTATTCGTCTTTTCGTTGTGAACGCCTAGAAAAACAATCATCTCGATTGGAAGTAAAACAAAAAAGTTATGGCGTTTTTAAGAATAGAAAAAATACTAATTATTAACTTGAGTTTGAGTTTAGGAAGTTTAGTTGAAGGGAGAACTTGAACTTAATATTTTAGCCCCAAACTCAAGTTTAAACTCAAATTTTACAAAAGAACATGAACTTGAATAAAGTTATAACTTGAGTTTAAACTTTTTTTTTTTAGTTTGAGTGTAAATAAATAAGCCCTTAATTAATTAAAAATCTTTAACTATAAAATAACATATGTGTAGGTGCCTGCAAAACTTAATAAAAAAGATCACACACTTAGAGTTTTCTTTTTCCTTGTAAGAGGAAAAACGGGCTTATTCATTTGCATTTTTTTTTTTTTTTACTTAGAGTGACTTAAGTTCAGATATTAATTTGAGTTAAGGTGTATTTGAGTATGGTTTGAGTTAGAACTCTAATTTGAGTTTGTATTTAGATGTTGACATTTTCAGTTATATTTTGAATTGAGAATCTATTTGAGTTTGTGTTTGGGTAAGTCAAAACTTGAATTTGTGTTTGGATAATATTTTAATAAAAACTCAATAGTGATGGAAAATTTTAATAGAGTATATGGGTGAGCTTTTATTCACCTCTTCGTTGTGAACACATAGAAAAAAATAATCTCAATGAGAATTAAAACGAAAAAGTTATGGCGTTTTTAAGAATATAAAAAAAAATACTATTCATTAACTTGAGTTTGAGTTTAGGAACTTGAACTTCAGATTTTAACTCCAAACTCAAGTTAAAACTCAAGTTCAAACTCAAATTTTATAAAAGAATATGAACTTAAATAAAGTTATAACTTGAGTTTAAATTTTTTTGAGTTTGAGTGCAAATCAACAAGCTCTAAATTGTTGAGTGTAAAAGTAATTTTTTTTTTTATCATTTACAGCTCCTATTTATAGAGTAGAATCCTAATCAAAATAATGACTTTATAAATAATCTAAAGGAGAGCTCGGGGTTGCTGTTCACGCAGATCTAATTTACTGTTTCTTCTAAAGTGAAATGACACTTTTGCCCTCCATTTACTGTTCTCTTCTTCTTCTGGTACAAGGGCGTTTTGGTCTCTCGGTGGCTTTTTGGGTTTTGTGTTTTGGTAATTTCACAACCCCTGCAACTCTTATTTTCCTTTCCCCCTCGATTCTCTCATCTTCTCCGCCCCCTTCATTTTCTCTCTTTCTTGGTTTTGTGGCTTCCTCTTTAGTTTCTTTGCCTTTCGTCGTTCTTGGTTTTTCCCCTCTTCTTCCCTATGTTTCTTATGATCTTATTCTTCTCCCTCGTTTTGTTCTGGTCGGGATCCTGCATGTGCTCCTTTGCGGTTTCGATCTCTTCGTCCCTTTTGTGCAGTTTGGGCGTGGAATTAGGGGTTTTATGCGTGTTTCTTTTTGCTCTCTTTCGCGGTTCTCATTTGTGCTTTATGGCCTTTGTGATTTTCTTTTGTTACTCTTTTGGTGGTCTGATTTATGTTTTTTGTTTCGATTTTTGTGTATCTTTTATGGGTTAAATGTTATTTACTTTCGTTTTGCCGATTTTTCTTCCCCTTTTGGTTTTCTTCATTTGGGGTTTTCGATTTGGCTTTTCTGGTTCTCTTTATTTTTTGAGCCTTCAGGTTAGTAATTTATGCTTCTCTTTATTATTTCCCACGCGCTCATGCTCAGGTTGTTGCCCTTGTTTTATGAGAGCCAATTCAACAATTCAACTAGTAATATTTTTCAAAAAAAAAAATCAACATATTCAACATAATAATTTTGCTTTGGAGCAATGTAAAGAAATAAAAAATAATTGTATTTTTTTTGTTGTTAAAATGAGAATATTTACTTATACTTTTTATTTTTGATAAATCTCTTATTTTTTACTTTCAGAATATGTTTAAAAAGTTACAGGAGAAATCTCATTTTGTTACTCTTATATTATTTGAACATTGTATATCTACAAAATAGTCTAATGGCATATTTAGTTACGCGTAATCAGAATGGACATGAATCGGAGTTGACAAGATTCAGAGTGGATATAATTCAGAGTAAGAATCGGAGTCATGATGAGCCGTTTACTTAGTGATAAGATTTAGAATCAGAGTCACTCTAAATCCCATTTATGACATATTTAGCTACGCGTAATCAGAATGGACATAAATTGGAGTGTGCAGGATTCAAAGTGGGTAGGATTCAAAGTAAGAATCGGAGTCAGAATGAGACGTTTACTTAGTGACAAGATTTAGAATCAGAGTCACTCTAAATCTCATTAATGTGTTTATCTGCACTCACAATCAGAATGAAATATGTAAAAGTACTAATATACAGTTTAAGTCAATTTATATTTTAATTTAAAAAATAAATTATGTACTTATTATATTAAAATTAATCATAATTAAAAAATATAGTGTAATAATAGGGTAATAAATATAAATTTTAAAATTATTTAAAATATAAAAATAAATTGTTAAAATTTAAATAAAATAAATAAAAATAAAAAGTAATGTTAAAAAATTAAAATATATTATTAATTTTTAAATATATAAAGTACATATTTATTATTAAAGTTAACAATAATTAGACTAATATTATAGTATTAGGCAAATGGAGTAATAAATATAGGTTGTAATTATTATTTTTTAATTTTATATTTATAAATAATATAGGGGTATGAAGTTATTTAATATTAATATGAGGTATTTTTACTCAATTATGCCCTTAATTTTTTGTGATTGATAAATCAGTCCCTGAACTTCTTTTCTTAGTAATTAGTCCCTTAAACTTCAACATATGTTGCGCTAGTGGTTCAATTGGCAACGTCAGTAAAATTACTAATGATTTTTGTCACGTGAGAATTCCATAAGCTTCTCTCAAGGGTGTTAATTGTCTTTTTATAAACAAAATAAAAATTAAAACAAAAAAAAAACCTACAAAGCACCTCCCCCACCCACATAATTCTACAAGCTTGGCCACAACGCCCCTTTCCTTAGTAGATTTTCTTGTCACATGGCTCTTCTTTTTTCCATCACCAGATTTAGGCATTGTTGCTAAATCTCAGACTCACTGCATCCCCCATATGCTAGATCTTGCTGGTGCTAAGGCTGTTCTTTGGAACCTTGTTCGTTTGGGTTTTATATTTTTAGGTTAAGTATTGGTGTATTTTTTTTGTGGGTTCTGAGTTTTTTTTTTTTTTTGTTTGCTTATCTTGTACTGTGATGGAAAAGAAAGAAATTACCTTTGCAGCAATTCTATTTTTTCATGGTGGGTTACGGAAGAAAATTAAGTGACCGTTTAATTTATACATTTAAACTAATAATTTTTAATTTTAATTTTTAAATTTTAAATTTTTTATAAAAAAAACGCTTTAATATAATAAAAACTATGAATTTAAACACAACTAACAATCGAGCGCTAAGTTGATTTCAAGTTTCAACCTCAAGTTTATATTATTTTCATACTTTGCTTTTTTTTTTTTTTTTTTTGTGGAACAATCTTGAGGACGCTATAGATGCATGATGGGGAATTCAAGAAGGTTGCCGTTTCATTCGTTTGGAAAAGTGAGACGTAATTTTGGATTTTTACTGGGAATGCATAATATCATGGGTGCGTTTGGAATTGGTTCCAAAACGTTTTTATTTTCTGTACGAAAATGAAAATGAAAACGTTTTTAGTTTCATTTTTGAATTATTTCTAAAAATGCGTTTGGTAGTTTTATTTAGAGATTGATTTCAGTTTTAAAAAAAACTGAAATTGCGTTTGATGGTTTAATTTTTGAAAACATGTAATAATATATTAAATAATAATATATTAAATAATAATTAAATAAATA